AACGAATCACTGTTACCAGTATGGGAGCTACTCAATCAGCAATACAAGAATCAACGCCTCTCAATGTGCTCGGCCTTTCTTAAACTATTGCCTCCAGTAAAACCGATAAAGAGTAACACGGACACGTTAGATGAACTGGCCAAAAGATCAGAAGAAGCACTCAAACACCTCCTTTCATTCAATGTGCTATCAGACCTATGGAATTACTTAATGGTACATCAGATTACACTCTACTTCGACCGCGCCACCGTGGATCTATGGGAAACTTCACTAAGGACTTCCACCACCTATCCGCGATTAGAGAAATTAAGGACATCCCTCACAACCAGGGTGAGGTTTCTGCGACAAGGTGAAGGGGTGAGACAACCGGTCACCAGCTCACTGAAACCATCAACGATGCCTTCTTGATTGATATCATCGTCCTCAAAAAAAGGGAAGTCCTCCAGCTGTTACCAATTATCTCTAAAGAAACCCCTGTTAAAACCTTCCTCTGGCCGAGAGGAAGGGGGCTGTGTCTATTGCGACGGAAACCACTCAATTTAGCTCTGTGATCTAGTGCGGAGCAAATCCTATTCAGACGAAAAATTGTAACAGAAAGAGGAATCTGCATTAACTGCTTGAAACATCACGATGTCAGTCTTTGCGGTTCGAGCGCAAAATGCAAAAAATGTTGGAAAAACCATAGCATCACGCGTTTCTAAACGAACCTCATCGTCCATCTAACATGATGGTGCAATCAGCCATACGAACTGTTCATTACTTGCTACCGCCATTGCAGAATTGCGATCAAACAACATTATACGACGAGCTATCGTTCGTTGTCCGAAGCCTCGTTCGAGATTTACATATTCCAAAGAAGAACTCCAACATTCAAGTGTATGGAATTAAGGGAATTCCCATGACCAAAACGCAAGGTGTCGTGTCATTAACACTTTCATCCTCTATTGTTACCATACAGGCCCACATCCTCAAGTCACTGACCAAGGTGATACCTTCCTCTGAACCAGCGGTACATGATTGGCAACATCTGAAAAATATACCATTAGCAGACCCTCAGTACTTTGTACCTCGAGCTGTAGACATTATTCTGGGAGCCGATATGTATGGAAAAATAATCAAACCTCAAGTCATCACCGACTCTCCGCATGCATCTATGGCCCAATTGTCCATTTTTGGATGGCTTGTGCTCGGACCAGTAACCTCCAATCAATACTCAATGGTCACAGCATTTCATGTATCCTAGCATGATGATGAGAAAACACTGCATGAACTACTCACAAAATTTTGGGTCTTAGAGGAAATACACTCAAACGAAAAACCCAAGCTCACGCCAGAAGAGCAAGAGTGTGAGAAACACTACAAGAACAATTACTTTCGCACGTCGAATGGACAATACATAGTACGCATTCCACTCAATGCCCCTGCTATAGGTCTTGGGGACAAGTACGAAACCTCGCGTTGCATGTTACAGAGCCTGGTTAGAAAATTCTCAAAAACAGAAGGTTATCACCAACAATACCAACGATTCATGCTGGAATATAAGAATCTTGACCACATGTGACAAGCACCTTCACTTCTCAGTCATCAAGTTCAATACTATCTGCCACACCACGATGTACTCAAACCTGACAGCACCACCACCAAATTAAGAATGGTATTCAATGATTCCTGCAAGTGAACCTCTGTACTCTTTCTCAACGACATTATGCATACCGAACCCAACTTGAATCCCGACATTTTAGATGTGTTAATTTGGATCAGGAGACAACGATACCTATTTGCAACCGACATTACAAAAATGTATCAACAGATAACGAGTGCACCGAGGTGACTGGGATCTTCAAAGAATTTTTTGGATTGACGAAAAGGACCAAGAAGTGTCATATCAATTAACAACTATCACCTACGGCACAAGATCTACACCATTCCTCGCCGTTAGAACACTGCTCCACCTGGTGGACAATGAAGGAAGTAAGTAGCCCCTTGCGGTACTTTCCATACTACATGGGAGATACGTTGACAACATTTTTGGTAATACTGACACGCCAGAGCAGTTGGTCAGAGTCGCACTCCAATTGAAGGATCTCTGCATGACGTGCGGATTTCCATTTGCAAAATGGCATGAAAGATACAAGGACGTCATCACCGTAGTCAACGCCGATCATATTCACCCACAAGCAGTTTCATTCGACGATTGTGCGACTAAGATTCTTGGACTACAATGGTCTCCATAACACGATAAATTTTCATTCACGACAATACAGAATCCGAAACAAAACAGTAAATTCACGAAGCGCCTCATCCTATCTGAGGTTGCAAGGTTATTTGACCCACTGGGCTTTGTATCATCCGTTGTAATCAAAGCAAATATCTTCATGCAGGAGTTCTGGTTACACAAACTACAGTGGGATGAGAAACTCTACCTACTCAACTGTCATCCCAATGGACAATCATTAGAAAGGATCTTACCACATTGTCAAATATAATCATCCCACGTTGACTTAACACTACAGGCTCCTCTCGACAAGAATTGCATGGTTTTTCTAATGCATCTCAACGCGCAATTTCTGCCGCCATTTACATCTCGGTGCACGATTCACATAGCACCACAACCACACTGGTATGCTTAAAGACAAAGGTGGCTCCGTTAAAGAAAATCACCATACCAAGATTGGAACTCGCAACAGCACTATTACTTTCAAGGTTAACTCACTACGTAGTAACCACGCTACGGGTGGAAATACGTATATGGCATATACGGATATATACGGAAATGGCATACATCCGCCAACAGTATTGGATCATAGGCGGAAGGCACCCGATAAAAACTTATATCCCGCACTGCGGTGTGTGCGCACGACAAAGGGCAATTCGTGCGTAACAACTATTAGGACAACTACCAATCACAAGAGTGACACCAGCGAGACCATTACCTCACACTGACGTGGATTATGCTGGCCCTATGTCTTTGAAAACAAAAAGAGGTCGAGCTGCGAAAACATATAAGACCTAGATCTGCACCTTCGTCTGTTTTGTCACTTCAGCAGTTCACTTAGAATTACTTTCCGATTACACAACTGACGGCTTCATTTCCGCATACAGAAGATTCGTTGCTCGTCGAGGGATTCTAAGCACAACCCATTCTGATTGCGGTACTACCTTCATATGTACGGATGCTGCTCTAGAAAGGCAATTTATTCAAGGCACCCTCGAAGAGCAACAGATCGAAGGTATCATGGTGCAAGATAACACTAACTAGAAATTCAATCCACCCTCAGCGCCCCACATGGGGAGTAAGTGGGAAGCGGTAGTAAAATAAGTGCAACATCACCTCAGACGCACCATTGGAGACACCTTGCTCACCTTCGAGGAGCTCACTACTCTGCTTGCTCAAATCGAAGCCATCCTGAACTCCAGATCCTTAGAACCACTTAGCGACGATCCAGAAGATTTAATCGCACTCACTCCTGACCATTTCCTTATAGGAGGTCCGCTCATGGCTCTTCCTGAACCATCGGTCCAAGAAATACCCATGCCTAGACTATCTCGATGGCAATCCATCCAACGACGTGTCCAACAGTTTTGGTCACTCTGGTCAACTCACTACCTACATAAACAACAATCAATATCGAAATGCCATTACCCACAGAATGATATTAAGGAAGGGTCCTTGATACTCATTGCCGATGAGCATTTATCACCCAGCAAGTGGCCACTTGCTCGAGTAATAAAATTGCATCCCGGTAGTGACAGACTGACGAGAGTAGTTACACTGAAAACTGCTACTACCACTATGGTGAGGCCAGTTCATAAGCTTGTCGTACTCCCAATTCCTGAACCACAAATTTCATCATCAAAAAATTGATGATGGTGGGCGGAGCAGTTAAAGGCGGAATTCAAAAGTGGGAGAGGTGTAAACACCTGGACATTTACTTATAAACACAATTCAGCGAAGTCGGGAAATTTCCCTACGTTAAATACTCAAACATTAGACACGAATCCGACAAGCAATGCAGACGAACTCTCAAGGATAGATTCTAGTGACGTCACCATAATGATCGGCATAGCAACAACCACCGATGCGCTACCGACGTCGCAAGCTCCTACGTAAATATTTAAGAGTGGCCCTTTGACGCGCTACGCACTGTATTTTTAACATCCAGTCAGTCACCACACATCTGGCTTTCAGTATTGTTCTCTACGATAAATTCAGTTTAGTGCTCAGTGTAATTCTATATTTAGTATTATTATTGAGTAGTGCATCTTACATCAGTGTCACTTGCACCACCAGCGAACTGCAATTCAAATCGCAAACAATCAAGAGGTCAAGAAAGAAGTCATACCACTACAATAGAATAATTCTCAATCTCAATAGAAGTAACTAACAACGCTACAATATTATAATTCATAAGCAGAAAACTAATAATCGAACTCATATATATTACATTATACTTTTCACCCCTTCCCTTGGTCCCGTCTTTCTTCCTAAATCGCTATGGCGAGATATTAATCCACTGAACTATTGAATTAGCAGTTCGAGCCATAAATTAAAACGTTAGAATTCGAACATGCGGCATCGCAAATATTCATAAAAATTCTGAAAAATGATAAATTTTATATTTAACAACTATCAATTTCTAAAATATATTAATTTTACTTAAAAATATCAATATATAACAATATTCTATTATAAATTATAATAATATTTTTCTTGTTTTACATTAAATAATAAATATTAAATATAAATTTCTTTTTTATAATATATATACGATTTACATATGATAATCCATGAAATAATATAATTTCACAGAATAAAAATTAAATAATATCGTATATAAAATTTATATTATATATAAGATATTAGTTTATTTATTATTAAGTATTTTAGAAATACTAGTAAAAAAATTCATATATTTAATTAAAATGTAGAAATATTTCAATTTTTTCATAAGTTATATTTTCTTATTGTTCTATAATTCATAAAATCATTTATTTTTTAGGGAACAACTAAACGTTCACAAACTGATCTCGAACTAGAAATCGAAAACATGGGAGCACATTTAAATGCTTATACTAGTCGAGAACAAACAGTTTTTTATGCTAAGTGTTTGAAACAGGATGTTCCAAGGGCTGTAGAAATTCTCAGTGATATTATTCAAAATTCGAAATTAGGAGAAAGTGAAATAGAACGTGAACGAGGAGTTATTTTAAGAGAAATGCAAGAGGTAGAAACAAACTTGCAAGAAGTAGTTTTTGACCATTTGCATTCAATTGCATATCAAGGAACCCCACTTGGAAGGACAATTCTTGGACCAACTAAAAATATTAAATCTATTTCAAAAAGCGATCTTCTTTCTTATGTAAAACACAACTATGGCCCACCAAGGTAAATTTAAATCAATATTTTCTTATTTATCCTGTTAGATATTATTTATTCAAAAGATTGAAAATATTTATTAGCTCATCTACGTTATTTGGCTTAAATGTAAATACTTAAATCTATATATAATCAAACTTCTATGAAACAGGTTTATTAAAAAAAAAAAATATTCTCGAAATTATAAATTTAAGTGTATCTGAAAAAGTCGTTTTTAATTTAGCAAGCTGAACCTGAACAATAGAATATTTTATATTTTTATTTTTAGTATTTTAAATGATTCGTATATATTGCTAAATCGAATGAAATAAAAAATCTACCGATAAATACATATTTACTTAAAGGAATATTGTAAAATGCATACATGAAATTTTTATTAAGAATCAACCAAATACTTCAATAAAGAGAAGGAAGAGTTTGGCATGCGCCGGTGGAGAGAGAGATGTAGAACGAGAAAGAAATAGCAAACGTTCAGTTTGTAAAAATAGAAATATATTTTTATTTAACTAGATTTGTATTTGCTGGAGCTGGTGGTGTTTGTCATAATCAATTGGTTGAACTCGCTCAACAGCATTTTGGAAATATGAATGCTCCTCATTACAATGCGATCCCGGATGAAAAATTATCTTGCCGATATACGGGCTCAGAAATTCGCGTTCGCGATGACACAATGCCCCTTGCGCATATTGCCATCGCTGTTGAAGGTAGTCTTAAATTGTTAAACCTAAAAATTTAATAAATGCGAATGCACTTATTAATTATTGTGTATATTTGTAATAATTTTAATAAAATTGTCTAATTTTTCATTTTTTTTAATTCTTAATTATTTTATTATAAATATCTGCTTAGGTTTCTAAAAAACTGACATAAGAATTGTAATATATGACACATCCAATAATACCATTTTTTCTAAGTGTAAATTCATAATAACTTTGTAAATCACATAATAATTTTACTATTAAAATGTATAAGTTTATTATGATTACATATAAATTATTCTTAAGTTTTATATACTAGTTAAAAAATATTTTACCAAGAAATAATTGGTACCAAATAATCATTTTGTTAAAATTTGAAAAATCGTAAAATAAATTATGTGTAAATTATTTCAATAATTATTCATACGATAAAGATTTTATTTTTACATATATAGACTTAATTACACGGAATCAAAAAGTATTTAATAATTTTACCTAATAATAAAGTTTTATTACTATTATGTTACCATTTTTAACAATTATTCAAACACACATAACTATAAGCATAAATATAAACATATATATAATGAAACAATTTCATGATAGGTGCTGGTTGGCGGGATGCTGACAATATCCCTTTGATGGTTGCTAATACTTTGCTCGGTTCTTGGGATCGTAGCCAAGGTGGAGGTACTAATAATGCTACTAATTTGGCTAGAATCGCAGCATCCGGTGAACTTTGTCACAGTTATCAAAGTTTCAATACGTGTTATAAGGTGCTATTTTACTTCCTCAATAAAAAATTTATATTAAATTAAAAAAAAAAAAGTAATTAAACCGATATGATCGATGGGTATAATTTAGATCCATAAAAATAATTTAATTTTGAAGAAAATATAGGAATTAAAGCATATTATTATATATCCCTTCATTACATAACATCATTATAAAATATTAATAAAATTAAATTCTTAACAAGTTCTTTTTATATTTTATTCAATTCTAAATTTTTAAAATATGTTTAACATATTATATTCAATGTTATATTTGCTTTGACAATTAAATTACATTAGGATACTGGTCTGTGGGGCGTTTACTTCATATGTGAACCAATGCAGTGTGAAGATATGATTTGGAATATTCAACAACAATGGATTAAACTATGTACGTCAGTGACTGAAAAAGAAGTTAATAGGGCAAAAAATATTTTAAAAACAAATATGCTTTTACAATTGGATGGAACTACTGCTGTTTGTGAAGACATTGGTAGACAGATGTTATGCTATGATCGCAGAATTCCTCTTCATGAACTTGAAGCTAGAATAGAGGTAAATATTATATAATATTTTTAAATATTTCTATTTAAAATTAACTTTCAACCAAATCTAAGTAATTGCTGAAATTTAATGTTTTAAAGTTTAAGCTTAAAATAATCATCTCTAATCATATAAAAGAATCAAATGTATAAAATTAATGTAAATGTGATTTAGAGTCCAAATTAATTCACAAAATGAAATTATAAAGAAGAAAATTATAATAAAACAAATTGGAATTTTAATAATTTTAAATGTAATTAGAGTACACAAAAAAAATAATTTACAAAAGAAATTAACAAATTACATTTAAGATAAAGGTTAAATTCTTTATTTATTGAACTATCAAATGGTTAACAAAAAATTGAAACAATCTTTAACTAAATAATTCAGTTTTTATTGAAAATTATGATATGAATTTCAAGATAAGACAATAAAATTTTGTATATAAAATAGCATTCAATTAAATATAAATTACGCTAAAGATTAATTGTATGATAAACATAAAGTGCAATACGAAAAAAATATAAAAATAAAACTAGATTATAGAAAAAATAAGTAAAATAGAGAATTAATGGTCGCTGATTTAAAAAATCTGTAAAACTAGTCATTCTTTAATATTATTCACTAAATGAGAAATTAGTAAAAACTTAAGGATATAATAGCAAATATTAAAGAAAATAAACAATTTAAAAAAATTTGATAAAGAAAAAAATATATAAGTGTAAAGTACAAAACAATATTTTATTTGCAGAATGTCACGTCTCAATCCATTCATGATGTAGGTATGAAATATATTTATGATCAATGTCCAGTTATTGCTGCAGTTGGTCCAGTTGAAAATTTGACAGATTATAATCACATACGAAGTGCCATGTATTGGATTAGATTATAAAATCATGTATAAGTTAAATTTCTAGAATTATGGCCATTACTAAATTAAAAAAAAAACAGATTATAAAAATTAATTAAAGTAAAATCGTTAAAAAAATGAACCTGGGTTGAAAACATTTGTATTTAATTTTTTATAATATCAAGTAATATTCAATTTGAAAATTAATTAAACTTACTGTACTTTGTCATATATATACATATATAATGAATAAAAATATGAATTAAAATGAAGTCTTCATTTAATACTGACTAGAATATTAATAAGGTTAAGAAATCTATACTTAAATTTATTTTCCAACTCATCAGGTATATATGGTATCATTCATTTTTTTAATTTAATAAAATCAGAGAAAAAATAATTTTTTTACTATAAAGTTTTTGATGAATTGTAAGTTTGTAATGTTTTATTATATTTACAAAATAATGTAACTGATTTAAGTGTGAATAAATTTTCTGACTTTGAAAAATTTTTAGTTATTGAAATTTGTAATTATTAGATTATCTGACATTAATGCTTCCTGATACTGTAGTTTGTCTGGGTGATGCAAAATCCTTGCAGACTTTTGAAGTCATTTCAGCCAACGGTTCAAGTTCTTTATGATTTATTAATTCAAATTCCATAATAAAATAATAAAAATGCTTGTAACATGTATTAACATGAGCTTCCTATAAAAAATATATAATATATTTTTTCTTAATTTACCATATAATATAAAATATCTTACAGCCCCTATTTTAACTATTCGATCAAAATGATGGATGTAGACATGAACAAAGACTCGAAATAATCTAGTTAAAATTTTTCGACATAATGGTATAAATGTTTTTGGGAATGGTATATCTGTTTAGAAATACAAAGAGAATATATTTATTATCAAGTAAAAATAAATAAATAAAAGATATAAAAATTATACCTGTTGATACTGGAAAAAGATTTTCATTATTTATTTGTGTTTCAATCCAATCCATTAATAAAGATACATATTGTGGAGCTGACAGAGCTGTTGGCTTTCTATATTTTTCTCCATCTGCCCATAGGTATTCAAAGCGAGCACCACCACTCATTATTGGACACGTAGTTGAGTCGCAATATTCAGATATTGTGCCATAAATAAGATTAATTCTATTAAAAAAATCGACAACTAGAAATAATAAAAAGTAAATATATAACTAAGTAAATAAACAAAGACTATCATAACTTTAAAATATAAATTGATTTATTTCTTTTTTTTGATAAAAGTATTTAAATTATTTAAAATTAATACATAAAAAGTTATATAAATAAATAAAATTTTTTACAATATTATATTACAATAAAATCAATAGTTTTATAACAGTACGACAAGAATTAAAATAACTACAGGGAAATTGATATAAGCATTTATATAACTTTTTATAATTAATATCAAGTATTTAAACATATATAAATTTAATTTAAGTTTATTCTTATAATATAAAAACTTTATTATTTCAATAAATAAATTTTTACCATGAACAGCAATCCAATCACTTAAATCTTCTCCAGGTGGTAATTTAACTACTGCTCGTAAATTGATTCCAGAATTTAATGAAGCTTGTGCTTGTTTATATAAAGAATATCTCATAGTTCCATGAGTAAATTTTTTTTTAGGTCGAAAGGTCTTTAAGGTAAAAGTTACTGTTAATTAGTAAATTGAATCATTTGAATCATGAATAGTGTAAAAATAGTGTATGTAAATATCTATGCATAAATAAAACGGCATGTACAAATATAATTATACTTATGAAAATACATTCACAAGCGTAAGAGTTTCTTATATTAAATTGTAACAAATAATAAAATTACTCGTAAAGGTGGCACATAAATTAAAAATGCATTTCACAAAAAATACATACTTTTCCCTTTTGAAAAAATTCGACAAATCCACTAAGCGATGCCATTTTTCGTTGTTGTTTCCTAATAAAACTAAATTGTATATTTTATTTCATAACGTTTTTTAATTCTTAAATTAATCATATCTCCATTATATTCACAAAAAATATAAATTAAACAATGAATGTGGCTAGGCTTCAAAACTTATGACACATAAAGAAACAGATACGGCGCCTATTTTAAACATGACTAATTGAAAACTAAGCTTATGACTACGAGACAGGTGCTCACGATATTCTCAGGTATATAAAGACCCATATTAATGAGTATACATAGACTATTATAATATAAATATAACATCGTTATATTAATTCTATAAAAAAATATTGTTCTTATTTTTCGTGTACCTTATTATAATAAAAAATACTTCGATTAATATGTAGTGAATTACATTAATATTTAAATAGGTGAATTCATCTTTGTATTTAATCAAAATTTATTTAATTAAAATTATGTTTTTATAATTTTTATCTACTTTTTATCAACATATAAAAAGTTTGTTATTTATATTCTTTACTTCATTCGTTAGAAATTTGTATACGTTAGTAGTATGAGAATTAATTTTAAATTTTATTTTAAACTATTTTGCTAAAATAATATTAGTATTGATATTTTATAGAAATTTTATTATTATAATCGCTTCATGTTGGATTTTATTTAATTAACCGTCTTATCTACGAGCTGGATCTAATAAATATACCACGAAAGAAATAATTGTTTAAATAATAAATCGTGCTATTAAAATAAAGAATCTTAGATACACAATGAAGATTAATAAAAATTATTATAAGTAATACAGCTGTACTCAATAACTATAAAAATGATAAAACTGTAATTGTAACATCATAAAATACCTGCTGTGAGACGGTCTAGAATATTATATTTGAAATAAATGGATTGCTATTAATCAACAATAAAACTTTTATTACAACAAGATATTGTATGATAAGATACTTAGTATATTAATCATTCTTTTATTATGATTTAATTTCAATGATATTATCGAAATAATTTGTTTTGTAAATCAGCCATAACAGTATTTTTGGGATTTAGTGATTTAATTTTTTTATTCTTTTATTAAAACTCTAATATTCGTTTTCGGAATTCAAATTAAAGTATTAAATATTAAACAATTTCTTCGAGATGCCGTTTTAGCTTTATCGATCTTTGTTGATAATATATTTCTTTTATGATATTTTGAGCTGTTTCGAATCTATCAAATTATTTATTACTTTTTTTTTAACAATCATAGTAAAGTACATATATATATCAAACATAACATGCACATAATACAGTAACCTAATATTCTACATTTACCTTACATAGTTAATACAAACATTTCATTACTATTTGAAACATTAAATATTATATAACAAACTTATCTTATACAAATTATAAATCAATTTTTAATGGTTTCTAAAATCTATCAACATTAATTTATAAATAAGCTCATTTATATATTCATATAATTATGATAAATAAATTAGATCAGCCTAATAAGTTGTTTATTATACTTTATTTGACATGATTCAAAATAATATGAGCTTATGTTTTAAATATTTTTAGTATTTAAGTTAAATGAGTAAAAATTCGATATTTATAAACTCTTTACATTAAATCATTACATTAAAATTTAAAAAAATAAACAATAAAATTAAACGCATGCACATTGACTTAAAAAATTAAATATTCAATGTAGTTATACAACCAAAACGTTAATAAAACATAATCATAATAAAACATAAATAATAATGTAAGAATTTACAAGAAAATTTAATATTAATTTTGATTTTGTGAAACTTGTATTTTTAACACAACTTAATCTACAATTGGCTTGTTCAATTTGAAATTTAACAATTTAATACAGATATGATTTTCTTAACTCTTATTAATTAAATATAATTTTTAAAAAAACTAGGAACACGATACGAAAATATATACGTTTCAAATGAATTTTGTAATAAGCTCTTTTTAAACTGATAAAAATGTAAAACCAATAAAGTATAGTTAATAAAAGTATAGTAAAATATTGTTAAATTTACATATTAATTATTAACAAATTATTCAGTTACTAATTACAATTAGATTTAAAAAACTGATAAATTACAGATATTGTCAAAATTTAAACAAAATACATGAAACATTATTTTTCAATCAATACTAAAATTTGAAATTACATTCATATAAAGACCGCAAAAATATCAATTTTCAATTTTACTTTTCTAAATTGAATTCATTAACTTTGAAGATTTAAATTTTTTTGCATATTTTATCTCTCAAGAAGTATGTATATGTGATATAAAGTGATCATTTTAGTTGACATATTGAAACAATTTATAAAATAAATATAACTTTTGAGCTGTTTATAAGCATTTGGCTTTCTTCACTAGTATTGATAAGTTTTTAATAAATAATTAAATTATTAAAATTATTTCAATGGTTCAATTATCAATTGAATAATTTCAATTTAATTTTTTAATTTTTAAATGACTATCATATATAAATTCATCCAAACAAAATTTTGGAATAAGTTATTATTTTTAGTATTTGCTTTTTAGAGAAACTGCTAAAATTTGTTTTTTTGTAAGAACTAAATAAACACTATTTCTAAAATTTTGTTTGGATGAATTTATATATGGTAATTACTTACTTTAATGGAATTAAGTTCAATCTAATTATCAATTAATTAATGAAATAAAGGATTTAAGTTGTAAGAAAACAAAACGTTACAGTGTCACATGTATGAAAGTAAGCAAAACTGATCTGTTAAAAAAGAAATTAATTATAATACTCTTAATTGCAGAATTTTGCAAATTTGATAATCAACAATCACAAAACTCAAAATAATCTACAATGAAATTTGTTGTCACTGGTTGATCTTATTTTCTTTTTTTTTCTTTTGTACTTCACCTTCTTTAATCATCTTTGTTTCTTTTTCTCTTTCTCTGTTATATTTTACTTTTACTTTTTTCATATGTGCATATCTTTCTCAATCGCAAGCAAGACAAAATATAGTAAATATGTTTATATTAACTTACAAAAATATAAATTTCATGGGACAAGACTTATTTTTTAATGATAAAAGTAGTAATTACTTATGTATATGAATCTTAATAAGAAATATGAAATATAATAAGAAGCTAATAAGAAATCTTAAGGAAAGTAAGGAGTTCTAAAAAGTATTTATATTTCATTATTTAGTTTTATAGTATAAAATACAATTTTTCATTATCTTATCTTTCTTATAACTTATAACAAAAACATCTAACCTACATAATAATATTTAAAAGAATACAATAGATAAAATAATAAGAGAATGTATTGTATAAATATGTATATAGAAGATTTTTCATATATTTTTTCTTATAAATAATAATTTATAAATACAGAAAAATGAATAAACACATTTCATTGTATAACTCATATATATACTTTCAATTACAGTACGTAATATGTAAATATTAAATTCTTAATTTATTATTGTTTTTACACTTAAGAAAATAGTTTTAAAGTTTAAAAAATAAAAATCAATAATGACTCTGCCTTTATTTTATATACACGCACCAAATAATCAAGATACAAAACCGAAAAAATTATCTGATATTTATATCAAAAGATGTAATCGTAAAAAAAACAAATAAATTTGTAAAAAAATTGTAAAAAAAAAATATATAACTTTATAAGAACCGTACAAAATAATATTTTAATATTACAAATATTAAGCTCATATACAGATTGTATTTATTACATATATACTTAATTTCATCAACGCTATAGAAAATATATTCTAGGTCAAAAATCAACAAATGCACAAAAAGCGTATGTAATTATAGAAAAATTTATATTACTTAACTATGCATCTTTAACATTTAATTTTGTACTTTAATTTTTAAAATGTAAATAATATACAACTTTGTATATTATTATCTCCCGAATTAGTTGTACGAAGAAAAGGGGCAATATTATCTGCCTTCCTTCTTCCTCGCGCTACTGCTGCCATCATACCACTGCTCATGAATTAATTTTATTTCATATGATTCATATAGAAAACTTATCCATCGCAGAAACCGTGCGTATTGAAGAACATGTAGTCTATGCGATAGTTATGTATGAAGTATCATTATGTGTATTACAACTGAAGTATCCATTTCAAACCATTGCTTCGTTGTCGACTCCTATTTAAACGTGAGGATATAAACTTCAAAAAATTCGACAATTTAAGAATAGCGAAAACAATATCACGGTGTGATAACTCATAAATGTAACAAAACAACACGACTTTTTTTTTAATCAAGGAACGTAATTACACATTTGCGCTCTGTTTATAATTTACGGTTGTGTCAACAAAAAATATCTCAATATCTTTTGCGCGTGCGTAACTACAGATTTGCAAGTGTAGACTGATTTGTGATCTGACTATCGTTATAAAGAGAAAAAGGCACATGCGCAAAAATCAAATGCTCTAGTTCCATCAGCTTTTTTATACTTCTGTTAAAAAATTCTTATTTTAATTATTGAAAAAAAATTAAATGTGAAAATATAACCCCTTGACTCTCTCCAAAGTTCTGAAAATCATTCACATTATTCTTATAATAAGCGAAACAATACAAAACTCATTTTATCTAACTCTGATACTTCAATCTTGCTGACTTTTATGACACTGTCGTCGTACAAAATATACAAGTGGCGCGTACTGTTTCGGTTCGTGAACGCAGTTTTAGCCTAAATACATGCTTCCTCTTTCATGCTCTCTCTCTTTTCCTCTCTTTCTATTAACCCTCTTCTTCGTGCCCTTCTTTTCATTTACGGTCTCAAAAAATTAAACAATCTATTTTCTTCACATTTTTTCCACGGTATGGACAACAATATAGGTTACTAAATAAGATAGAACTTCGCGTTCTGTACTCTTGCGTTTATATTCTTTTATTTTATTATTCGTCTCTCGCTCTCTTGTTGCGCATGTTTTGCTGCATATACATGAGTGCGCATCCATACTTGTTTTTTCACCGTCGTTAAAGGACTCTACTTCTTTTTTAACCGCCTTTCTTAATTTTCTCATTATTATTAGTCTTCGATCATTCTCATTAATATTATATTTTATTTTGTAACATAAGATCTCTACAAGAACACGAAAACTATATAATAATTGGCAAATTAAACTTTTCTGAAAAAAGGAGAGTCAGTCAGTGGTTAGATATATATTTATGGACAGAGATATTATATTAAATTTTAAATTAAGTGTTAAAAATAAAGTTGACTCAAAGGAGTTGATTGAACTGTAAAAAAACAACAGTGCAAGAAGCTGTGGTTACTATACAAAACATAAAAGCATACAGGTGCAGATGCGAGTTACTCGCTATTAACTGAATAGGCAACATGGACTGCGGCGAGACCTCAAGTAGGATAATTATTATCCACACATTGGATTATGCACTGATTTTCTTGTTCTAAACTGTTTTTTTATTTTGAATAATGGTGAAAAATTTTAATATTAAGTATAATATATATTATTACCAAATTATTTGTAATTATTATACATTTTTAATAAAAATTCTTTGAAATTCCATGTAATATTTGAGAAAGTTTACGGTCAAATAATATTTTTAAGTAAAATGCTTGCTATTAGTAGAAGAAAATCCTATATTAATTTTGTAAGCAGTTGCTTGTAATTTTTAAAAATATTAAACATGTTGCCTTTAAAATATTAATAAAAAACTTAGGTATTTTGTAACAAATAAAATTTAATAAAAAAAAAAATTATGGGCCATTATAAAAATGAAATTAAAAATAAGATAAAACTTAAATGATATATTTTTAACATAGCCTTTCAATTTTATATATATAAACATAAGAAAACATTCTCTACAATACATATTTTCAGAGATTTATAATCATAATTATTATTTATTTTGGTTACTATCAATATTTGAATGTTATAAAGAAAATTTTTTTTTTTATAAATTTATTTGTGTGTGTATATAATATATATATATATATATATTTTTATCATTACAGATAATGGGGACATTCAGTGGTGTTTCTCACAGGTGAAAGGAACCTTGGAAGATGATGTCACAGAAGGTGAATTCCAAAAAGTTTGCCTAAATTAAACAACTTTATTTAATTGAATCTTTATCTTATCTGTACCAGTTTATTTCAAATTAAGCAGATGCTGTTATTTTTAATTACAAGGTATAGATTTGAAAAAATCAGATAAAATTAGTATTTGTCATCATTATATTTCAAATAAATTATTTATAATGAAATTTTTTAATAACAAATAATGCATATCATTATTTTTTAATTTTAGTATAGTTTATTTAGAGTATGAAAATTATAATTTAAGTCAGCTATATTCTCTATTTTTAGAATAATTTTTAAAAATTCAAGACTTTAAATATACAAGTTTTTTTATAAAATTTTTAAACATATAATGTTTCGATCAATGTTATTTTTAATTTGTAACATATTAAATATAAAATATTTCTTATAATTTTGTATTTTCAATTTATTTTTTATTTCTTATTACAGGAATCTGATAAAACTAAATATTATTAAAATTATACATGTTATTTAATTACTTAAAGATCTGAAATTTAAATACTTTAAGTAATTTATATTTTATTGAAATTAACTGTTTTATAACACGAAAGCCAGTAATATTTTATTAAGTATGTTTTTAAATATTGCATTTTATTTATTTCAGCTGACATTATCTCATGTGTGGAATTCAACCATGATGGTGATCTCTTAGCTACAGGAGATAAAGGTGGCCGTGTAGTTATATTCCAAAGAGATCCTCTTGTAAGTAGGATATTCTTTTTTGTATTAAAATTCATTTAATACAGATGTTTATAAATTTTTATTAGATTGTTTAGATTATGCTTTGTATAAAATATTGCTATCAATGGAATTAAATGGAAGTGTATAAAGTATTTTATAACAAATAGTCTTAAATAGTATAATTTCACTCGGTTAACATAAGTTGTTTCAATAATTTCTATTTAATTTAAATTATTTGTATTAATTATAAATTTATTTTAATTATAAGAGTAAAACTATTATTCCAAGAAGAGGCGAATACAATGTATATAGTACCTTCCAAAGTCATGAACCTGAATTTGATTATCTAAAGTCTCTAGAAATAGAAGAAAAAATAAATAAAATTAGATGGCTAAAGAGAAAAAATCCAGCACATTTTTTACTTTCAACAAATGACAAAACTATCAAACTGTGGAAAGTCAGTGAGAGAGATAAGCGTGTTGAGGGATATAATACTAAAGAAGAAAGTGGTGCCATTCGTGACCCCACATGTATCACTGGCTTAAGGGTGAGTTTGAATAGAAAATTATACATTAATATTATAATTTTACAACTAAAATTTACAATTTAATGTTTGTAAGTATTACTTTTGAAAAATTAATATGCTTTTAAATAAGATTTTCCAGTAATATTTTAATTATCAAGTTTACACTGATTTAAAAACTTAGTTCTGTTATTAGTGATTATATTACTCCTTCATTTTGGTCTTAATAATGGCATAATATATATATTATATGGCTTATACTGGTCGATACCAAAAATCTGTTATATTACCTTAATAAATTTCTAATTTATTTTATTAAACATCAAAAAAATAATATTATATATTATATATATATATATATATTATATATAAAATAATATTGTAATAGGAGCTTATAAGTGATTAATTGAAAACATATATTAAGTGTTAATTTTTTAGGTACCTATAATCAAACCAATGGAACTAATGGTTGAAGCATCACCAAGAAGAATATTTGCTAATGCACACACTTATCACATTAATAGCATAAGTGTTAATAGTGACCAAGAAACATACCTTAGTGCAGATGACCTTAGGATTAATCTTTGGCATCTCGAGATAACAGATCAAAGTTTTAGTATCCTTTTAATCACAATAATTTAATACAGAATTTTTATTAATTATCTCAATTATATTCTTATAATATATATTCTTTAATAAATTAGTATACAATAATTATGTTTATAATAAACCGTAAATATATTTTGTTTAATCTGATTTATGAATTATAAAATTCCTCTGTATAATTAATTTTAATGAAAATACAATGCATTATACTTGATGTTTTCTTATCAATATGCATAGATATTGTAGATATTAAGCCTACTAATATGGAAGAGCTAACAGAAGTCATAACTGCAGCTGAGTTCCATCCTGTTGAATGTAACTTACTTGTGTATAGCAGTAGCAAAGGAACAATTCGCTTGTGTGACATGAGATCTGCAGCACTTTGTGACCGGCACAGTAAATTATTTGAGGAGCCTGAAGATCCTACCAACAGAAGTTTCTTTTCTGAGATCATCTCAAGTATAAGTGATGTTAAACTTAGTAATTCTGGCAGGTACATGATTAGCAGGGATTACCTCAATGTTAAAGTATGGGATTTGCACATGGAGACCAAACCTATAGAAAGCTATCCTGTAAGTAGTTTGCAAATAAGATACTTAGGTGGACACATCAATTTTTAGAATTTTTTTTTTTAAGTTGTAATGATTATAATAATAATGTATAACCAAATTTATATAAACTGCAATCAAATTTATTATAAATATATTTTAAATATTTTGTTTGTAACATTTCTTTTACTCTTTTGAGATGTTGTAAGTAAAAATTACATTTATTATAAACTATTACTTGGTGTGTATTAATGATATATAAAATTTTAAAATCACATAATGTGAAATATTTAACATAAATTAAACATGTCATACTTATATTTGTTTGAATATTACAGACATGAGTATTGATCATAATCAATAATATATTATGAATCTTACAAATTAGTTTCAGATAATTATTAAAATTGCAAACTTCCAATTATACACAAAATCATATTAACAAAAATAAGAGGATTAAATTAATTTATTTAATAAATGTTAATATTTTGATAAATTTAGTTCTTAATTTTTTATGATATTAATATACATTATGTTTTAATAATTATATGCTAATAATACAACAGGACCTAATTGAAAATCAAATATAAACTAAAAATATTAAGAAATATTAAATAATTAGCATATAGTATGTTTATCATATAGTTTAGCATATAATATATTTATTTAAATATATAATAAAAACATTAAATAAAAACAACAATATAAAATTGAAAGGCTATGTTAAAAATATATCATTTAAGTTGTTTGTTTTTAATTAATAAAGCCTTTAATGGCAAATTAAATATAACTAGCTTTCAAATAAAAAAATAATTTTTATTTTTAAAACATTTAACATTTAACATTACATTCTCCATAAGAAGTTTTAGTAAAGGACGTTTTTACTTTTATTAAAATTACTATTAAAATATTCATAAAAAATTAGTATAAATTTTAAAATATAATATTGATGTACTTAAAATTCTCTTTAATAATGCAAAAGTATTATTTATAAGCAATTATTTTAATTTATTTTTCAACAAAAATATGTTAGGTTAAACTTATTTTAATAAATTGAAAGTATATTAATAAGTTAATTTAAAAAGTTATATGAATACAATTTTTACATATATTTATAATTAAAAATATTTCAGGTTCATGAATATTTAAGATCGAAATTGTGTTCACTGTACGAAAATGACTGCATTTTTGATAAATTTGAATGCTGTTGGAGCGGTAGCGATTCAGCCATTATGACAGGTTCATACAATAATTTTTTCCGTGTATTTGATCGTTCGACGAAACGAGAAGTAACATTGGAAGCAACACGCGAAGTTGCTAAGCCAAGAACTCTGCTGAAACCTCGGAAAGTACGTTTAAAACTATAAATATTATTATGATTATATAGTTTTTTTAAATAAAAAAATTATTTTTCCTTAAGATAATGAATAATATTAAATGTAGAATTGTTAAAAATTAAATAGCGAAAAACTACAATTAAAATACATTCTGAGATAGATGAAGCCAGAAATTGGTGTTGGTATTTCAAATGCTTTCTTAGCGAAATAGCTGTTTTGACGGGAGTAATTTAGCAGATTATTCTAAAAAGGTAATTTAGTGCTGAGGATAGTTTCCTGCTACTAGATTAATGGATCGCGTATTATGTTAAAGTGATGACTGGATTTTTTTCAACTAAAATCTTTCGAACTCCCCCCAACCAGATTATTGAATTACAATATATCCTTTTACATAAAATCAAGGCACCCTAATTAAAATTTCTTGTCATTACTTATTCATTGCGTGTAGTTATGCTTATTTATAAATCCAAATACGCATAGGAAAACGGGAAAATATTAGTGTTGATATACCGACGTATCAATCCTATTATTATATTACTTTTTACATTACCTAATGTATATAATTAAATATTAAGATAAAATTGAATTCAAAATTTATAAGATAAATATAGTTTCCTAATTTTGTTTATTTATTAAAAATATAAAAATAATGTCATTATTTAATATATTTATTCAATGGATTATTACTTTTAAAAGATGTTTTTAAATAAGAATGATTTTTATTATTTAAATATTTGTTGAAATTTATGATTATTGTGAATAATTAATGTTACAATGAATGATATTTTAATTATGCATAGAATGATTCATTAATTATTTTATTAAATCAATAAATTTTTTTTTAATTTTGTTTCAATATTAGGTCTGCACTGGAGGTAAACGTAAAAAAGATGAAATTAGCGTAGATTGTCTGGATTTCAATAAAAAGATTTTGCATACAACATGGCATCCTACTGAGAATATTGTAGCAGTAGCTGCCACAAATAATCTCTTTCTGTTTCAAGATAAACTCTAGCATATTTATATGCAGGTAAATGGTATATAGATATTATCTTAATAAGAATCAAACAAAACATTGATACATGTATTATATATTTTATATAATATTAATTTTGAGATAAAAAATTAAATATGTTAATCATCTTTTATACAAACAAATAAATGGAATAATAATTTTGTTAACTGTACTATACAGTTAATAGAAAATTTATTTGAAATTTAATTAATATATATATCTTACTTTGCTGTCTTCTAAAAAGCATTAAAAATTAATTTTCCAATGAAATTTTCAACATTTAAAATATTTATTGATTATGATACGATATGATTATATATGAAAAATTTTTGAAGAAAAAAATGTAATGCAATATTTGAAGACTTCTGGCATTTAAATATGTTTAATAATGCAAAATCATTCAAGCAATAACAGTTTGATAATGTAATTATAATTATAACTTTCAGAGTATACAACATTATATAATTACATAAACACGGTGCAAAAAAATTAAAAGGAAAATAATAAAATAATTTGATAAAAAGGGCTGCCAATGTGATTGTTTAAAAATACACACCCAATAGAGTATAGACGAATGTCAATTTCAGTCATTATCTGTTTATTGACTGATCGAGAATAAACATCAAGAAAAAAGAGGAAATGAGCGAATGAGAGAATGAGTGAATTAAGTGCATCAGGGAATGAAAATAGTTGTCAAAAAAAGAAATAAATAAACGCACCGTCATCAAAATGGAGGATCAAATTCTGCCACTGTTATTTATGGTTGAAGAAATCAATATACATTTGTAATTGCGATATTAACGTTAACAATCATAATTTTAGTCATGCAAACAACAAATAAAGAAAAATAATGATGAAAAAACATTCTAACATAAATACGTACATCAAAACATATGTTAAAAAAATAATTTAAATGCAATACTCATATTATTGATACCTATATAAAAAATGAAATTAATGAATCACATCATTATATTTTCGTCAAAGAACAAATTTATTAAGATGTATATATATATATAGTAAAATTAATAACAATGTTTTTCGGCTGATCAAGTAATCAATAAATCTTATCAAAAGAATTCGCTGTGCGGATAAAACAACATTAAAAAGGATAATCAAGAGTTTAACTTTCTAAGAAAGATTGCAAAGTTAAAGTATCCACATTATTATTAATTAAATACAATTTGTTTTTTTTCCATGTATCAACAAAATATGATATAATGATTAATTAATAATTTTTTGTAAAATTTTATTTTTAAACATAATTACTGACTTATTCATAGAAAATATTATATAATGAAATATTGGACTTGCTTCATAATTGATAGCCATTACTCTGTAATTGTAACAAACATTGTTTAATTACTTATTTAGCTTGATATAGTATCCTTGGACATACTAGATCAAACTTAAATATATTGTCTTGCATATGTGTTAATAAAATGCTCCATTTTGATAATTGAAATACTTATTATTATTTTATATTAATATCGACAAAATAATGCCATCATATTTTTTTCATCAAACTAAAATATACTATTTTAATTTATTTTAATCTGATTTCATTTTCAAAAATAAAATTTTATTAATTACATGTGCTAAATCTTATTTAAAACAAGATAACTGCAAAAAAGCAATCATTATTAAAAACACATAGTTAATATATGTAATTTTTACTACAAGCTTAATTATATTTTGACCATAAACGATTTTCCAATTCTATTCTAACTTTAACTAATATATAATATGCAAATATGCACAAGTTTCAAATGTGGTTTAATACATTATAAAAGTATCTATGTTGTCACTAGAATTAAATATATTATAGGAATATAAAGGAAATCTCAAATTTTTATAACTGAATATATTTAAAAATATTTATTCTAAAATCAGTGATCATTACTTACTCAATTATTCAATTATATATAATTTTATATTTATTTATCTCAATCCAAGATATATATGCATTTTTTCAAAATTAAATTATTATTTTATTATCCAATTAATACAATTATCATTGCATTATTAAGCAACTAAATTAATAATTAAATGAAATACTGGAAGTAAATTATTTTAAGAAAAATTACTTTTTAAATTAATTCTGTAATGAAGATCATTTGTTAGAAAATTTTTTATTTAATATCAATCTTCATAAATTACGATGAATCTATTAATTGTTCATTATTAAAAATACAGTATATAAGTAAAACGATATGAAAACTGAAACGATGTTTAAATAAACTAAGAATTAAATTAATAAAAAAACCAGAGTTTTTTATATTACTACTTTAAACCATATAGAGAAAACAAAAGAATATTTACAATTTTAAAAACAATTTTTTAAGTTTTTTTTATGTATACAACATTCTTTTAAAGTTATTTTATTTCCCCAACACATTTTAATTTTAATTTATGTAAACATTTCTATCCACTATTCATCTATAAATTGCATAATAAATTGTATTCAATCAAAGAGAAATTTTTTAACTCTCATTAATATTCTCTTTATTTATTACCCTGGTCTGTTAAAAATTCTGAGTATAAAACTAGCTAAGATAGTATTACATTATACAATTTTGTGAAGTAAATCTGTAATTGAATTATAAATATATGATGGTTTATCGATTAATTAACACAGATTGATATGTACATTAGTAATAATATATTTAAAAACGAAAGAATATAATTTATTTAATAAAATTTTTACTCTATTTGTTAATAGAAGTACTATAGTAGAATTTACAGATAAGTAAATATTGATACTTAATTAAAACTAATTAAATATAAATATTCGCTGTTAAAAACTTATAATTGCACCTATTTTGTTAATATAGTTTACCTAAATGATGTTTTTGTAATTTTTATTATAAACCATAAACAAAATAATTTTTAATTAAATTCTAATAAATATAATTTATAAAATTTTAAAGCTTAAATATTAGTTAATTTGTTATATACAAAATTATGACAACTTCAACCAAATTGAACTATATAAAATACTATAATTCAATTTTAGTTATTTTTTAGATAAAACAGTTAAAAGATAAAAGAAGTAGAATGTAAATTATACTAATAAATTAAAGAAAAATAACAATAGTTGTTATAATAAATTAGTTTACAATCTTTCTTTGAACTACATTGCTGTTTTCAGTAGCGTTGACAATTTATAAATTTTTAAAATATAAAGGAAAAAAAACGATTACAAATAAATACAAAATGTTTTTAATAAAGAAAATGATGATACATATGGCTAAAATTACATTAAATATTCCTATAAATTATTTAAAAACGAATGCAATTACATATTCCAACATTATTATTAATAAATTGTATAAACTTATGGTCATTTACATAAATAAATTTTTTATTTAATATAACAGTACAAAATGTTAATTTTTATTTTTTATCAATAAAATCTATTTTTATAATATGAATTTAATTAATGTTTGATATATCTTGAATTTCTGCTTTGTCATATTTTACATTTAAAATATAAAGACCATATGGTGGCGCTAATTTAACATTTAAATTCCAGTTATGATGCAATGGTGCTTGTAACATTTGTAATATATCTTCCTCACTTAAATTATTATATCCCAAAGCCATTAATGTTCCAATTACTTGACGAATTTTATTATATAAAGAGAAGTTTGATTTAAAAATTAAATTCCAATAGTAAAAATTCTCTGAAAGTGGATCACATGGCATTAAAGGTTTAGATTCCTTCAAATCAATATCTAATATTCTAAAGGAATTTTTATTATAGTTTTCATTTTTAAATTTTATTTTTAAAGAATTTTGATTGTTCACTGGTTCAAAATCTTGTGTACATTTAAATAAATTAATTCCATTCTTCATTCTTTCAAAATCAAAATCTTTTCCATAAATATGTACATTTAATGTTCTTCTTAGTTCTGAAATAGGAATTTGGCCATTTTCTGGATTTTTTGCTATGAGAAATCTATATAAGTATTCTTTATACTTTGCTGAAAATATTGCATGAAATTTTTTACTCACTTCATAAAAGGAAAAAATTCTTATTTTATGATCACATTTATTTAAAGATTTATTTATTAAATGCAATTGTTGCTTTGAATCTATTTTACATAGAGATTTAAATTTTAAGTCAATATGTGCTGCAGTACACAGTGCATGAATACCAATATCTGTTTGTTCAGCCATTACTAAATTAACATCATTAATTATTAGTTTTTTAATTCCAATTAAACTGGATTCTATTGCTCCTTGAACAGTATCAATATCTAATATTTTATTAGAACTTAATCTTTGTGAACCATTATAGGAAGTGCCAATGTAAGACAAGTTTAACATATATCTCCTCATATTAAATTTTTAATTGAAAATCAATGTTTTATTTTTTTTCAAATTGACAAAATTCAATACATATTTAATTTTTATAATTAAATATATGTATTATAATTAATTAAAGTTTATTTATTCTTCACATAATTGTAATCAATTATTAGGGATTTCTATTATACTATATTTTTGATTTCATCTAAAGTATAATAATCAAATATATGAATATTATGGTTAGAGAAAAATTAATTTAATTTATAGAAAATACTTACAGCTAACTATATAATTATCTTATTCTCCACTTTTGTTGAAATTTCGAATCACTTATCTTTGCCCTGCTATGTGACATATTTTACAAGAATATTTTTATAATTTTTTATTTTCATGCATCAATTTATGTAGCTACCCAAATGGTAACTTTATAATAAAGTTGTAACAAATAGTTAAAATATAATTTATTTTTTAATTTCTACATAATTTGTATGATTATACCATGATATAATAATTATACAATTTCATTATATAATTAATCCCAATTCTGTATTATATATTTATATAAGAAACACTACATGTAAACAGGTCTGGCTTTGGTTTTATCAGGTTGTCTCTCCATCATTTTAAGAAAATGCTTATTTAAATATGTCAGATTTCTCACATTTTTTATTAATTTCAAGCTTTACATGGCCATAAAATTCAATTTTGCTTAGTTAATATGTTATACATTTTCAATAAATAACATAAACGTTAGGATAATTTAGAGAAATATTGAAAAACTAAAACAAAAACATAAGAACATAACCAACACCGTTGTACTGTGCGCATTGAAACTGATTTTAATATTCGTAAAGAGGTCATTTAGCATTCGTAATCCTTATTAAGCCTTTTCTATAAATTTACGAATTAAGAAAACTCATTCAGTACATCAATAATCGTTCAATATTATTAATCTTAAAACAATAAATTAATAATCGTCAGTAATTATTTAATCACATATTTTTAGCCACTATCCCTTTAAATTTATAGACGATTCGCGTGATTTCGTTAGAAAGATTCTTTATCAGGGAACAATTCCAATTTGTAAGTGTATAAAAGAATATGCATTTTTTAAAAGGTTAGAAAAAATTGTAAAAAATCTATAAAAAGTTATTCATTTTATACTTTAGTTTGAATAAACATAATATTTTACAGATTAATATATTTGAAAACAAAATATTTTCTAAAATTAAAAATTTACGTACTTATTTATAAAATAAAGAATATTAATTACATTTTAAATTATAAAATTATAATTACATTTCAAATTGTAAAATCAACTTTTATATAAACTTCAAAATAATTGATAAGATATAAAATATTATACATACATATATAATAAATTTAAATATATTTTTATAATTTTCAAGATGACGTGTAATTCATTGATTAATTGGATATATTTAGTAATATTTTATTTGTAGGATATAAAAGAACGACATTTGTAGGATGTAAAAGAATTTAAGTATCACAAGCATAAGTAAGAAATGGTATATATATAAGTACTTGCTATAAAAATATAATAAATTTATACTTAAGTTCTGATAGAAACAATTAAAATAATATTGCTGTAAGAAAAATAAAACATTAAAATAAATATTGACTATTTTTAAATCTAATTAATTTTATTAATAAATAACCAAAAATGTAATTTCATTTTCAATTATATTTATATTTTTTTATTTTATTTAATTACAAGTTATTATAATCATGCTAAAAATTCATTTTAAAATAGAAATATCCTGAATATCAGTATTATCATAATTTACTTTCAAAAGATAAAGTCCATATGGAGGAGCTAATTGTACATGTGGATTCCAATTTTTATGAGATGGTACTTGTAACATATTTATTATATCCTCTTCTGAAATTTTATGAAATCCTAAAGCAAACAAACATCCAACAATTCGTCTTATTTGGTTATATAAAAAGGATTTTGAAGTAAAAATAAAGTTCCAATATGAAAAGTTTTTTGAAATTCCGTCTAATGTTATTAAGGGTTTTGCCTCTTCCAAAGATAAGTTCATTGTTTTAACAAAACGTTTATAATGCTGTTCATTATTGATCTTGTTTGTAATTGCAGTGGCAAATGAATTAAAATCCTTTTTACCTGCAAATAAATTTACACCTTTCTTCATCTGATTAAAATCAAATTTTGTATCACGATTATATACAATTGCACTTCTTTGTAATTCTGCAATTGGTTCTATTTTTAAATTATATTTTGGAATAACAAATCTGTATAAATATGTTCTAGATTTTGCTGAAAATCTTGCATGAAATTTCCGGCTTACTTCATGAAAATTAAGTATATTTATATAGTGACCTTTTTTTATTAAATCCCTATTTATATTTTTAACAAAATTATGTTTATTATAATTTATAGTTTCAGACTTTGGAAATACTAAATCAACATGTGCTGTAGTACATAAAGCATGTACACCAGCATCTGTTCTTCCAGCCATTACTAATTTTGGTTTATTTTCAAATTTTGGTTCTGATTTTAATAAAATATTTTCTATTTTACCTTGAATAGAATCACTATCCACCATATTATTATATATATGTTTTTGTGAACCTCTATATTGACTTCCAATGTAAGATAATTGCATCATATATCTTTTCATATTATTTTCAATTTAATTAATACTTAATATTTTATCTACTTAAATTATGGTCTTTTATTATTAAGCGATGTTTAACTAAATTTTTATTTTAAATATTGTAAAAAAAACTAGAAGCATATAAATTACTGTTATTACCGTTTATACTGTTAATATATAATATTTATTGAAATATATTTTTTCATCTCAATTTAATAATTCAAATTTTTACTTAATTTAATATATTTGTATAAATTTTTAACAAAGAATAAACATATAATAACGTTAGAAAAACAATAAGGTTAGAAAAAACTAAATAATTGCATAATATATAGTTATAAAGACATGAATTAGATAAACTCAAGAATAAGATAATGATTTATTTAATTTGCTTCAGTTTTTATTGTTTCAGATAAATTAGCTTTTAAATTTCTTAAATATGAAATTAAAAGATTTAATACAATTTTTAAATAAATATGTATTACATAGAGATATACATTTTTTAGTCAAATACGGTTTCAAATATTTTATATAAGAGCTCAAATACAAGTATGTTCAATAAACGCTTATATTGAAAAATGAAAAAAACTATAATAACTGTTTCGCCTTATGTCAGTAGCATCATTTTTTATAAATGTATTTTGATTGAAATAAATATATAAATAAATAATTAAATAAAATTTATTAAAATTATAATTTTTGGGCCACGAAGTTAATACATGCAATATGTTTCTTATACATATCAAAACGAAGTATAAATTTTTATAAAAAAAGATGAACACTCACCGTAAACAAGCATAATAACATTCATATTAAAAATAATAAATGAACACAAAAAGATATTTTTTTAATAAAATAATAGTTATAGATTCAGAAAAACCGTACATGATAACCATTCACTATTCTTTTTACTTGTTCCTTGATAATTTTATAACAACTGAAAAACAACGTTGTTGTTCCATATTTATTACAGATGAAATAAATGCATAATCATGAAATGTTAGAAAACTTAATAAGGGTTAAAAGAGTAAGAATCTATTATTTAAAAAAATCCTTTTTTATAAAAAAAAATAATACTTTATTTATTCCAAATTTACTTCTTTTCCAAACTGTCTCTAACAATTCTGTTATTTATAATATTAATTCATTTAAGTGATTTGTATTTATGATGGTAATTATTTATATTTATACTTTCTCGGGTGTGTGATGTAATGACTATGAAAAGTCTTATTTTTATTTGAATTTCTTCAAAATGATGTAGATTGTATTATACTTTGTAAATATATATTTATTTGTAAGTGTGACCATACTTTTTACAATTCATATGAAATTTAGGCAATATTTTAATGTGATATATTAATATATCTATTAGAATAAATGTTTTTTATATTATATTTGTTCATATATATTCATGCAATTCATCTTTTAGCAAAGTACAACTACATAACTTCGTATAGTATAAAACTGTTAAAAAATATACGGAACTTATGAAACAGATAGTATTGATAATATTATAAAATAGGATTGATAATATTATAAAAAAAATGATGCGGTAAAACACATTCACGGCTATACTAAAATTAATAATAAATAGCTCTTTGTAACTTTTTTTTATTGAAAGTAATAATAAATTTAAACATTAATGTTTAATATAATTGGAATAAATTATTTAAGATGATTTATTAATAGTGTTTATTTATTAAAACAGAACTTGATAAATTTGATACATCTTCACTTATTCCTTTTTTCCAAATTCGACTTTAAAAAATTACAACTTTTACAAATAATATTGTTACCTAAGGCAATCAGAAGTGCTTAATTAGTCTGTAGCTACATATCAAAATTTAAGTGATGAAAGAGTTTCTTTGTGATGACAAAAGAACGATTGAATATTTTTTATTAGAAAATCACGGAAATTAAGGCACTATCAAAAAAGCAGTTGGGTGAGTATTTTCAAATTACATATTCAAAAATTTTTTTGAATTTTATATTGTCAAACAAAATAATACTAATTGTATGTGCATTGCATCAACCGAGGTGAAGATATACACATACATACAATATGTTTTTCATATTCTATTTTTTGTTTTATATACTACTAATAGGTAAATGCTTTGAATTAGACAAATTTTTTAACATTTCATAATTCTTAGAACTATAGTAAATTACAATATTTATAATAAAAACATTTAATATGAAAAATGATGAATAAAATTTTATTTAGTTTTCAAATTAGTTGTGAAAGATATATAAAATATTAATATTAATTATAAATATATTTAATTATAGTCATGATTGGATTTTTTACTTTGAAACTCGTTTTTTTTAATAATATTTAGCTAATATTTTTATAATATAAATTTCAAAGATTTATAATAATTAAAATTTTTATTAATTAAAAAAAATCATTTGATTTTTAAAACATGATTTAATATTGTATCTAGTCAATTATATGTATTGTTAGTTTTATTTATCCATTTCTATATACTTTTTAAATATTGAATTTATTACTAATAATATTAATAATTAACAATATTTAGATATAATAAAAATATAATTCATAGAACTATTATATTTTAATTATATTTGCTTTTCAAAACTGTGTATAATGAGTTAAAATTTCATATTAAGAAAATCATAAATATGATATTTGTATTTTTTGAATTTTTTAATTACACTTTTTAAGACGTTTTGAATGATAAAAACTATATAAATAATTTACAGAAACTATTTTTTAATACGCTTAATACTAAACCATTCATTCTGTGAAATAGCAAATATATAATTTTCAAAGTCATAAGAAGTTAAAAACGGCATTTCGCTATTTAAATTTAGAAACCATCATTAATAAAAAAAGAATGCATACAATGGATATAACGGAGAATATATGCAATGGAGGTCTACAATTCTTGATTGTTCATGATATTTTGTATTTCAAATCCGATATTATTAGTTGCACTAAATTTTAAATACATTTTGAAAAGTAATAAAAATGTTACATATTCTTATGTAATAATCCACTTTATATTTATTGGATGTATCAAATATAAATAAAATCATTAAAATATTATTCAATATTAATATATAACAATAATAAATCATTTATTACACACACACACGCCCGCATATATATATATATATATACATACAATCCATACTATTTAGTTTTACAAATATAATAATTAATGAATTTAATAGTACCAGTCATAGGCTGCTTAATAATTTTAAGTATAGTAAATAAAAAAATCTATTTGGAAATATATTTTATTATATTGTTTAAATAATATAATACTAATTCACATTTTCATTGTTAGTAAAAAATGATCGAGATGATTTTGATTAATTTTAAATAATTTATGAGTTTAAATTAATATTATAGACATTATAAAAAGTGTAATTCATCAGCACTATATTTGAAAAATGTATTATTGCTTCTCAATATATGAAACATAGAAAATAATTCAATATAAATGTAGAAATTATGTTCTATCTTTCCTTAATTATGTATAAAGCACTAAGAAAGTTCAATGTGATACTGTAATGACAAAGTTTTTTCAAAATTATTTATTGAAATGTTTTGATTAAAAGCAAATTATAATAATTAAGATTTAGTTGTCACCATAGTAAATAGTCTATTATCATGGATATAAAGCAATAAAAATGAATGTCAATTTCATTCCTAAAGTTAAGTATACCGAAGTGTCAAAGCGTATGATTAAATCAAATGTAATTTGTAAGAATTAGTTTCAAGCATACTTAGTAATTATATTTATAATTGATTATAAGTATTATGGTATAAGTTGTTAATGCTGACATGTTCGTAATATTCTTGATCCCATTTTAATTATTTTGGAACTAGATGTTCCTTTCTATTCCTCTCTTCTTTCATCCCAAGCTTATTCTGGCTTGTTTTCTTATTCTTTTGTGTTCATTATAATTGTTTATAAGTTATGATTATTATTAAGATTTACTTGAATTACTTCTTCTATGTTTTGATATGGTTTCTCCTTTCTAGCATTAAAAAGTAAGTATTTTACTTTCACCAGTACTAATTATTTGTGCTTAATTATATACTTTTTTACTTTTTCTTTTTCCTCTTGCTCTTCAAGGTAGTTTTAATTTTTTTTATAGCCTTATTTGTCATTTTATTTCTTGATGATTTACTAATATTTCTTCTTCTGTTTTTTTCAATCTTCTTATTTTATTTTTTATTAATTTTTTTTTCATCATTAATGCTGTTATTTTTGTATATTTTCTTTCTAGTCCATCGTCTTTATTTTTTTTTTGCAGTATCAAAATAATTATACATCAGTTTACTTAAATTTAGTTATTTTATGATTTCAATTTTTAGTATTCTATGGAAGAAAAGTCTATAAATAACTAATTAATAGCAAAAATCAAATATTATTTTTGCAGATAGGTTGCAATGAGATAAATTTTATTACTTTGAAATATGTGTCCATGTATAATTGAGAATGTATATATTATATAAATTAGTACATCAAATTTGAAAAAATATAAGTGTATATAAATCGACATGTTAGCAAAATACTATATTTTCACTTATGGGTGTTATTATATTTACCACTACAATATGTTCTCTTATTTTACTGTAATTTGGTACCTGTGTTTTCTTATTAGAAGTATCAAAAGAAAAACTCTTATTTAAGAATAAAAGCTACTAAAGTTAATTTTCTAATACTATTTATTCTTTTATATTATATTTAATATTGATTAAATTGTGTATTTAATTGTAAAGTAATTAAAGATATATTTCATTTTATAAATTTTTAATAGAATGTAACTTCGTTTAAAATAAAAAGGCTTAAAAATTATTTCATTTTCTCATTCTTTAATATAAAAATAGTTTACTTTAACCATAAACTGGATAAAAGAAAACAGAAAATATAAATTATTGCCTTTTATGGGAGTATATTTTATGTGACATTTATAAAATTTATTTTTACATTTATTTTAATTTTTATATTTTCATCATTAAAGTAATATATTATGAGATTAATGGAATATTAATAATTAAAAGTTGAAAATATATAATATTATAACGATTATCTAACAAATCAACAGAAAAATATATATTAATTACATACGATTATTTATATGAAAAGGGTGTGCATGTGTACAATATATTTATTGAACTGCGATAACTATTTCTTAAATGAAAAACTGTATATATTATGCTGCACACATGAAGTAAAATAAAAGTATAGCGTTACAATTCGTTGTTCGTTCTTTTATTTTCTCGTTATTATAATTAATCTTATATCTAATTAAATTTAATGCATTTCATTATTAATATCTATCAAGTATCTTCATATATCACATTATATATATATATATATATATATATATATGTATACATATGTATAATAAAAATTTGTAATGCCTATCATAACCTCTAGGATATTTCTCTACAATATATTCTTTATTTCGTTGTCACATACAACCGCTTCGTCAATTAATAAATTCATATTTTTACCATATTTAGGCACCCGTTTAACTGTTTTTCTGTTTTGTGCAACTGGTAAAGGTGGTCATACATTTTTTATTTTTTGTCAATGTTTTACCAAAAATGATAATATACTAATATACGACTACCATGTGTAAAATTAAATACTTCGAAAATCTTATACTGTTTGACATTTGTGTACAATTGGTTTGTACGAAACGTATAATACATTAACATGAAAAGTGTGTAATAAGATAACGTTTCATGCATGCTTCAGTTCCAAAATTTATGTTACTAATTTCATTTTTTAATAAATTTATTTTTTAATCACTATATAATTTTTTGTAAAATATAAATTTGAAGTCATTATATTAACTTTCAGTATACAGTTTTCATTTAATATATGAGTTAATATAGTTGCCAAATGTTTTAGTATTTTAAAATTTAGAAGAAAATACTAATAATAAAATATATTTGCTAGTTAAATTAAAATTTTTTTAGTATCTGCCTATGACATTTCCTTGAGTTGAACAGAATACTCCGGTAATACTGGATTTTAAAAATTTGTGGAAGATATTTGATATTAAATCATGGAGATGTGGATAAGAGAAAAGATATTCAATTTTGCTAACATAATAATGAGAGTACCACCTATCTTTGTCATTGATGAATTACTCAGAATTGGTTTTGGATTAGCAGAGGAATCTGTAGTCTATAATAATACTGAGTTAGGTTTCAAAATGGTTGAAACCAATAGTGCCCTAGATTCAATAGTATCCATGACTATAAATTTAGACTTTAGTGCTCACAGTTGGACTGGTATGCAGAGTATATTATCACCGTACTTGGTTTATTTATACCAAACTTATCTGATGACTGCATTGAAATTCTTAGCTTGTTGTTTGGGTAAGACAGTTCTTACTGTGGTTTAACCTCACTATATAGATAATAAATATAGTAACCAGTTTTAATTTTGATGATTATCTTAAAATTCTTTTTATTTTAAAAATATGAATACAAATCATAATATTTTGCTTCTGCCCATTTGAAATTTTCAGTGATCAACAAGAAATAGTGTATTAATAAATATTTTACATACACACATCCACACACAACATATATATATATGTTTGCATATGTTCATATATATAATAAAATATTATTTTAAGATAATGTTAAACCTTATAGAATGTATCAAGTATTTTCTTTTAATAGAATTTAGCTTTTGTTAATTAAATTGTAAGCATAATGAAATTTTCTAATTTTATCAATTAATACAGTGTGAAAATTATTTGCATGCTTCAATTATAATAATTTAAATGATGTTTAATTAGAACATTTAATTAATAAAAAAAAACAATAATATAAAAAACAACAAAAAATTATGTTTATAAATTAAATTAAATATGTAAGCCAATTATCATTCATAATTTGTAATTTTCATAGATCAAAACAATCGTTTTATTTAGTACATTCTTTTTTTAGTGTAACATTTTGTAGTCTTGTAGTGTAATAAAAAATTTTAGCATATATTTTAATATTCAGAGACAGTTCTTATTTATTTTATACAGGACCATAAAAAGTATTTAAAAAATAAAAAAATCAATATAATTAAATTTTGCTAGACTACGAAAATTATATGAATTATTGATAGTATGTCATTTGAATTTGAATTTTTATGTAAAGATATAATTCTTAATTATCATTTTTATTATAAATCATTAATATTTTAATTTTCAACTCTGCCTATAGTTATATATTTGACTAAAATAAATATTTTATCTTATTTATTAGAAAATATTTTCAATCATTGTATTTTTAAAATTTTTATATTGATATTTATAAGAAAGTATGTGATTACTAAATTAAATATCTTATTAGATGCAGTTTTTAACTTTAATTATTATTTGTTTTCAAGAACCTTTAATTATTTTGTAGTTCAGATTACATATATTTGTTTAACTTTTGTTAACTATAATTTTATATAGACATGTATTTAAGATGTATTAAATTCGTCGAACCTAATCTATAAGAAATAAAATCTTAGATTAGACTATTATATATAATCATATTATTGTAGATTAAAAGATTAAAGAATATTTTATACATATATCAATGTTTTCCCCTATTTATCATTATACAATATTTTTAAATATAAAGAATTTAATAAATTTTTTTTTTTAATTTATTAAATTACTGATATATTTCTATAATTCAGCTTTAAATATTGGATATTAGAAAATAAAAGACATTATTTGTGTGCTATAATGCTGGAAAAATTATATATTCAATTTGAAAATGTAATCAATGCTTTTATTAAAATTTTATATATTTTCCTTTCATACATTAAATTATTATTATGAATTAGTTACTTACATTTTGTAAAAAATCTAAGAATTGTTTAATTATAATAATTTATATAATTACGATATTTTATAGTTTTTTATAGAAAATTCTAATGCATAAATAAATTTTTAATCAGTGTCATATTTTAATTCATTATTTAATTACTATTTATTTACAAGAAATATTTAAAGAGCCTAAATATATACATTCGTATCACTAATATATAAAGCTTGTATCAATAACTGTTCTGTATATTTAACAGGTTGTATAGCTGCTATATGTACTTTTATGCTGTGGACAAAACATCTTATAATTGTTTACCTTTATCTTATATCTGTGGGAATTGTATATGTATCTTATTGGTCAAACACAAGAATTACTGATACTATTACAATGTATCTGAACTCTAAGGAAAATGGAAGTACTGTATTAAATGAACTCTTCAAACTTCAATTTACAAAGTTATTGTCAAACTGGCCAGACTTAGTAATCATACAAAATCGTGGTTTACAATATGTTCTTGCTCAATTATTTTGTTACATCCGTTTTGGACAGCAATATACAATGCTTCAATTTATAGTTACATTGGGCTTTATATTTTCAGAATCATCTTTTCGTTTCATACCTTTGGGTATTTGTGCTTTCCAACTTTTTTACAATCGCCATAATATATGGAAAACGGTATACAGCGGTTATCAATTTGGGCAAATCTTTATTTCGAATTACGGTTTATCAGCATTTGCTGAAATGCAATGGACGCGTCTTCGGGTGCCTTCTGTCTTACGAACATTTTGGATTCTTCGTGTAACAGAACAAGTGATCCAAATTATGAACAGTAATAATGATGAGGAACATTTAAATTACTATGTTATAATAAAAACTTTGATGATAAATGGTTGTGAGACATTAACAGCTGTATTAGGCATGACAAGTATTATTTCATTCATATGCCACTACATAGGTAGTTTTTTTCAGTGGATCTTGCTACTTGACAACGAGGATGAAAAAAATATTGGAACCGTATCAGCAATGTTATTCTATATACTAGCTTTGCAGACAGGTTTAACGTCACTTAATAAAGAAATTAGATTATTAAGATTGTGCCGGAATTTATGTCTCTTATTCACTGCTGTTTTGCATTTTATTCATAATATTGTCAATCCTCGCTTAATGTCACTGAGTGCTTCGCATAATCCTGCGTTTCACAAGCACGTAAGAGCATTAATTGTATGTGTTTTCCTCATTGTCTTCCCAGTCTGGTTGCTTACGTTTTTATGGTCACATTATACAATTAGTACGTGGCTTCTAGCTGTAACTGTTTTCAGCATAGAAGTTGTGATTAAAGTCCTAGTTTCATTGGCGATTTATTCTCTTTTCCTTTATGATGCCTACTGTAAAAACTTTTGGGATGAACTGGACGATTGGGTTTACATTATCAGGTAAGTTAGGAAAGTATTTTATTTTTTATTATATTTAAAAGTGAATCATTTCAAAAGCAATGTGTACTTGTATTTGATAAACTTAAGTTCAAGTATTAAATAAAGCCAAATTATTACTTAAAATTTTAAACAATCATTTTTTCAAGATTAAAAACATTTTTTTATTTAAAAAACGTGAAAACTATTTATTTTTAAATTGTCAACATATCGAATTTTATTTAAAATTAAAGGTTTTTATGCAAAGTAAGAAATATTTAGAGTAAAGTGTTATTTGCATTGTGCAGATAAAAACATTATTTTGTTTATAAAAAATGAAATAATCAAAATTTACTATTGCTATCGTTTAATGTATTTCTATTGGTTTAATTATTTCTAAAGTATTATTTAAAGTATATACAATAATTGTTATTAATTAATTAACTAGCTATTTAATAATATTTACTGCCAATGAAGCAAATTTCATTCATAGAATATTGAATTTAATCCAGGAGTATTTACAGAATACTAAAATACAGTTGTCGACAATATAATTATGGTAATATATGGTTTAATAAAATAAAAAAAAAATTTTAATTGAATTTTATGTAGTTCATATTGTAAAAATAATTTTTAAACTATTTCTTTCTATTATTAGTCGATATATTTCATTTATTATAGAAATTCCATTTATCTTTTTTCCATTATCCATAGTTTATCTTTTCGTTATTTAAATGCAAGTATAATGAAAAGATATATATATTTAATATATATATTTTTTCTATACTTGCTTTTTATATCTAGTTGAATAAAGATTATTGCGTTTCTTATTTACTTATAATTATCGACTATAATTCTAACTATATAATTATAACTATGGCTTTCTTTAATCAATTAATTAATACTATCCACTATATATCATCCCTTATTAGTTTTTTAAAAAACCTTTTATTCAAATTTATATGTATAGCTTTACTGTTTTCATGATATAACTAGATTTTTAATTTAAAATTTTAATAGTTTTATAATTATTTATTCCAATTTATATAATTATTTCCATTCAAGTGTGTTAATTTTAATTACTTAGTTATTTCACTACATATATTTATGTTCTTACAATTTATTACATATCTTTTCTGGTCTATTATTTTTTTATTTTTATTCTTGATACATAAAACTTACAATTTTTATTTCTAAAGTTAATTCGCACAAAAAATATATATCTTAATATCGAATAATAATAAAAATAAATATGTATTTATTTTTGGAATTTCAAACTCAAAAAATAAAATTAATATAAATTTATTTTGTTTTTTTTTGCATTTGACAGCATCACATCGCAAAATTTAAAAATTATATAATTCATTTATTTAAAGATTTGATGTTTAACCAACGATATTTTAGTATAGGCTTAAATTGTATTAAAATTTTTATTAAACAGTAAAAGTACCAGAATATAAGGGACATTATAAACGTATACTTTTCTGCTCCTTAATCATATAAATATTTCGCCAACGTAAAGGTAAATATATATAAAGGTAAATATATGTAAAATAAAAATTTTCATAAAATAATATTAATTTTAATGTTTTATATAATAGACTATCAATTGAAACTAATAACAAAGTATTAACGTTCATTCAAAATCAATCGCAATAAATAATGTGATCATCTTAAAATAGTTGGCTGTTTGATTTAAAAAAGTTATTTCATTATTCAGTTGTTCTATGTCAGTTATATTTAATTGTTTTAACCATAACATAATATAATATTAAGAATTCAAGGACCATGTTCTTTACAAACGATAGACTGTTTTTTAATTATTTTTAATTAAACTATTATTATTCAAATATGAAATACCTCAATTTATATAAAATTTTTAATATTAAAGTTAAGAATATAATAAAATAAGAAAATATAATAACAATGATCGAGTCGATATGATATAATTTTTAAAAGGATGAGTATCTATGTATGCAAAACCGATTCTTTTAAAGATTAATTTATAATTAATATAATTAAACAATACTGTTAATTAATGTTAAACTTTTTTTTTAAATTAATTGAACTCGATTTTTAACTGCAATCTTAAATCTTAAATCTTGCATACTTTTTATATTGCTTAACAAAAATTTTACGATACTGTAATATAAATAATTTGTTATATTAAATGGCTAATAACAATGACATTATATTTTATGGTTAATAGTATTAACCATAACTTTTAAACATATTATTGTAAATTGAATCTAATCCAGATTAGATAGATTGTTTACTTCTACTAAAATCTGCCTTTGCTTTTCTTAGACCTAATATATTAGCTTTTTGATATTTTTGTAACTGATTTTATATTTAATAATTATGTTATACAGTGATATTAGTTATATATTATATTTTACAAAATTTGATCTAATTATTCAGTATCAGTGTATTTTTAGACATTTTTATGTTGCTAGTATAAATCTGTACATTCATATTGATTCCGCTTATTGATCAATAATTTATTTTAAAAATAATTAAATAGACAGTTACTGCATTAGCTATTAATGAATTTTGATTCCAACAATTTGCTGTATGTTTATCAACAAAATAATTTTGATATTCGTTTATTTGAGCCATTATATGCATCTTTCTAAGCGTATTTATATTTTTAATAGAAAATTTATGTAATAAAAAGGTTTGATCATTAAAATCTTGATATACGAGGATAACTTTTTTCTATCAAAATTAGGTTTATAAAATTGTTTATATTAACATTGTTTTAACAATACTTTACATTGAAAAAAATTCGAAATCAATAAAGCAGATATTTACATAGTTAATGTAATTCGTTTTATTTTAAAATAATTTAATAAAAATGTAGGTTTTATATAAAGTGTACTTTTAATATTAGAAAAATCTTGTTTCGTGGTTATTAAATCGTTATTTTTAAAATACTCTATTGCGTTGCATTATAATTTCTGATAAAAATTTTGGTATAAATTTTTTAAAATGTACTCATGAATTTTTAAAGTTAAATTTAATAGTTTTTTTTTTAATGCAGTTAATTACTAAACAACAGTTTGTAATTATAAAAATGTAGCATTTTTAAACGCCTTTTTCTGATTACAATCTATGTTCTAAATTAAATTTTAGTTATTTTCTGTCTGTATTTTATAATTAAAAAACGAAAACACTTTAAAGAAATATATTTGATTTGCTTTCAAGTTGTAATTTCTTAAGATTAATTAATTGTAAATTCGATGATTAAACACTAATATTAATTAATAGTACTGATTTTTATTATTTTATTTTTATTTTAAATTATTAATTTTTTTTTAATATTTCCATATTATTTTTTGTTAATTTTATTTTTATTATAAATTATTATTTTTTTTAAATATTATTTTCATATTATTATTTTTTTAAATTTTATATTCATTTCATTTTCACTTTTTTTTCACATTTTTACACAATCATTATTAACAATATTATATTCATTTTAAATTAACTCATTTCATCAAACACAATACCGTAGCAAACAAGTTGTTTTATAAATTGTTTTTACAATTGTTCTAAAAAACATTTTCAACAAATTTCTTTTATGCTAGTTAATAGATTGCTTTCATTATAAATAAACCAAAATAATCATTGAACAGCTACAGAAAATTATCGTTAATATAGTAAAATAAAAAATCAATGAAAAATTTGACTAAATAAAATAACTTTATTTAATGCTGAAATTATATTATTTATTTTTTAAGTTTTTCAATATTTTATTTTTCATTAAAAAGTGTTAATATTTCAATTTTTTCATACTCCTAAATTTAATTTTACATATTTATAACGTTATTTATTAATTAATTTAAAAGAATTTATTTATGAAATATTTAATAAAATAAAATTTATGTAGATAAAAGTAAGCATTTAAATATAAAATATTTATAATCATAATAGACGTATTTACGTTTAATAATTGAAATGAGTTGCAAGTTACAAAGTCATTCAATAATATTCAATAAAACAATTTTTCTTTATTTATACATTTAGTAGATTATATTTTTACTACAGATCCTTTGGAAACACAATCGAGTTTGGATTTAGTGTTATTCTTTTCTTTAATGGCTTTTGGATTTTAGTCTTTGAGGCTGGTGGTACCATTCGTGCCCTTATGATGTGTGTTCATGCTTACTTTAATTTATGGTGTGAAGCAAAAGCTGGCTGGAGTGTATTTATAAAGCGCCGCCATGCAATAAACAAAATCAACTCATTACCGGAAGCAAACAAGGTACAACTGCGTGAGCACGCGGATGTTTGTGCCATTTGCTATCAAGAGATGGAATCTGCCAAAATCACAAAATGCAATCATTTCTTCCACGGAATCTGTCTACGTAAATGGCTTTATATGCAAGACAGATGTCCCCTATGTCACGCCATTATGTATAAAATCGACCAGAAAAACACTGAAAATTCATACGATGATTAACTTGATGAACAAGATAGTTAAGCAATGATGTGGTTAGTTCACTATCTCTATTAAAGTTTAGACTGTTTATCGGTAACGAACATCTTTTAAATAAAACTGTCGTTTGTTTTAGAATTTCCACGATATTTTCAAAATTGACGGCTTAACAAATAATTACAAATATTAAGGTATTTAAACATTAATTATTTCTATTGTTGATTTTTTGATATATTTGCATCGTATAATTTTATATTTTTCCCTGCGCTTTTTGTTTAATTTATATACAAATAAACTAAAGATATAGTTATGATAAAAAATATGACATAAAATACAAGTTTGAATTTACATAAAATTGAACAAGTGAAAATTATTCTTTTTACATTTACATTATTTGTGTATATGTGATTTGTTGCATACTATAAATATAAATTTTAACTAAAAAGCAATATTCCAAAATTTTCTTTAAATAAAAAATTTATATAAAACATTATTACAGGTATACAATTACAATTTAATTTATGAAATTCAGATCCTTATTTTTAAGTTAATTGTTGACACTATTTTTAAATCTTTTCTATTTTGTAATTAGTGATTTATATATGGAAACCTATTTGAAGTCAATTTTATTTTTTACACATATTCAAAATATTTTTATCAAATAATTAGCATTACTATTAAGTAATTATTTATATTTATTTTATTATAAAAAAATAAATTATATAATTAGTTTATTTAATGTCTAATGAATATTTAAGCAATTTAAGTTTTTTTAATTATATATTCACCATTATTTAATTAATTCTGTAAATTGAAGTGCAATAAAATGAATTTTCACTTAATAAACTGAACTCTATATATTATTAAATTTTAATCAGTATAATTTAAACTACTTTTGCTAATAAAATTTTAAGTGTTAATATTTTTATTTATAATAATAAGACTAATTAATTTGGTTATAAAATCAAATAAAATATTTTTATCATTGTAAATGAACCTAAAACTTGTATATTAATTTATTAATTATATTTTACACTTTTGTATTTTTCAAGTTAAAAATATTTTCACCTTAAGATGTTTTAACATTCTAATTGAATTTCCAACATATTAATTAACATATTAATTAGGTAGAAACTACAAAATTATGTAAAAACATAATTTTACTGTTATACCATTTTATTTGTAACCTTTTTATTTGTATTTATTGTAATATAAATAATATAAATTAATTTTTATTGATCACAAAAATTTTTAAGTAAACAATTGATTTAATTTTTTTTTAATTAAAAAAAAAATTAAAATATTTAACTCTATTTTTTAAATATCTTTAAAAAATTAAATTGTATATGTATTTTTATTCCTAGGTAATAATAATGAAGATATTAATTTTTTAAACTAAAATAATAGAGGATGAGCACATCATTTGAAAACATCCTTAAAAATAATAAATCTACAAGAGAAAGTGATTAAATAATGATAAAATCTTGAATCATTACTATCATTATTTTGTGATAAATAAAAAAATAAAAGAGTTTCAAAAGATTTAAAGTTTTGGATTAACATTTTTAAAAAACTAAACTTGTTATATAAAATATAAGAAAAAATTGATAAAGATTCCAATTTATATGTTATAAGAAGCATAGAAAAATTGTCAGTACTATATATGTAATCGTGTATAATTTTACACGTACTTTAATATCATTTATTTGTCAATAAATAAAAATTTTTTAAAATTTATATGTTAGTAATATGAAATAAAAACAATTATAAATAATTTTATATAATATTTAATGAAAAATTTGAAATTATAAGCATTGAAATTAAACTTTTTTTGGATTTAATTTATATTGTATTTATGAATTAAACTCTTATTAAATCAAATGCACAATTAAGATTATGGTCATTTTATTATATAAAAAGTTACCTAACATTTGCCATTTTTAGATTTTTAAAAATTTCATTTTCATTTTCAAAATGAAGGCCTATGTACCCATGTCCAAGTTTCGTAATAAATGTTAAAAATTAAAGTAATATATATATTGAAATATTTGATTTTCGATGCTTTAAAAGAAAATACAGAAAATTTTCAAATTATTTATTTAACCATTGGACATATCAACTTCTAATTGTATCTATATGAAAATACAGTATACAGTAAGTTTTAAAATTAAATGTCTAAGGTTACCTTTAATCTTTTATATTTAAAAACAATTTTCCTAATCATAGTAAGTATTCATCAACTTCAATTTCATTTAAGAAATTAATAAATTAAATAAATAACTTATTTATGCTTTTTTCTTTTTTTCTATAATAATATGTATTATTACCTTGCTTTAACTATTTTAAAATGAACAAAAAGTGGTTGATAAGCTATAAGAGTTATAATAAGTGATAATTATAAAATGCTGAGTAAATTGAAAAATAAAACTTTTTTGTAAGAAATATCTTTTCTTTAAAAGAAAACCATTTTATAAAAAATTATATTATTTTGTTTAATACAAACTATTAAGTTAAGTTTAATATATGTATTTTTTTTAATTCAATAAATAAACTTAAGTTCAAATACAATTTTAAATAACAAAAAAATAATATATTTTGCTATAAAATGATTTTATTTTCTAGAAAAGACATGTTCTTACACAAAAGATTTTATATAAATCAATTTTTTTAATTTAATTTTATATTCATGACGAATTGTTTTGCATTATTTTAATGTCTAATATAACTTTTTATATTATACTTCACATTATGAATTCTTATTTAAAAATAGGTTTATGTTGTATATAGCAATTTAATTAATCAATTAATATTTGTTTATTTTGAAAATATTTTTAATATTAAAATGAATAATTGTTCTGTTTAAATAAAATAAATTTTATTTTAGTTAATTTAAATGCAAAATATGTTAGAATAACTTTTTACAGAGAAGTCAAACGATATAATTTGCTAGATAATCTATTCAATAAAGTACAGCAGTCTTTATTTTTTTCAAATCAATTATTTTGATCGATTTATGCTTTAGAAATTTATTGATTAATTTTATCCTAATATTAGTACAGTCAATCTATAAAGTTTTTTCTTTGCAGATTGCTGTCGTTTATTTTGTAACCACGCCAGTAATAACAGATCATGCTGGATACTAAGAAATACAATTCCTTCAAATTATTTGCAATATAAAATAAATTGATGCATATTACTTTTGTTTTCGCGCAACACCTACTGGTATATCAATTATTGCACTTTAGTTACAGTATTCGGTTATATTTTGTTACATTTTTAATAAAATTGAAATACTAATTGTTCATAGTTGTTCGGAATTTCACTCACCCGGCGTTTGAGAGACCAAGGTGATTGGATTAGACCATGCCACCGTTTTACTGGTGGAAAAGTGGGGAGAGTGAGATGTTAATGCATCGATTCACTATAAGCACAATTGGTTTTCGTGACATTTATTTTAGGTTCAATTACAATTATACAAACGATTCATCGGTTGTAGTGAGTTTTGTTAAGATCGTCCAGTGGTCTTGACAGCTGAACAATTGACAGAAAATCTTGACAGAGAAGAAATGCAGAGCTTCGACCGGGTCTTCAAGTGAAGCCTAGTATAGCTGAAAGCGTATTGTAGCGCCTCGTAGCAGTATGACGGAAATTACGCTCGCTGGACGCGCGTGGCAGCTTGCGGCGCCCCGTAGCGGAAGAGATTAGAATTAATCTCACTGGGTACGCATAGCAATGGCGGTACCCCGTTGCGATATGACTGAAAACCAGTCTCGTTGGAGGCGTACCGCGATCAGTTGCAGCCCTTGTAGCAATAAAATTGTAATTATCCTTGCTGAAGGTGTATGGCAAATGGCGGCGCCCGATAGCGGTATAAATGAGAATCAGTATCGCTGAAGACCTACCGAGAATAATTTTGCGCCCAATGGCAATAAATGGTAATTATTTATTAGCAGTATACCTTGCAGAGATCTCTTTTGACGGAGGCGTGTAGAAAGCGTAGAACTTCACCTGATATGACTCGCACAATTTTTTCTAGACTCATTCAACAAGACAGCTTGAATTCGACGCGCGCTGCCCCTAATATATGCGAGTGCGTTGTTATTTTGGCAATAATGACTTCCTGTTAGTATACCGAAGTTTCCCGCGTGACGTTACAAATTTGACTTCCAGAATTTTCTTTCGAGTTGTTGGAAGGCAAGCTTTTACCGGTAGGAGACTTGTACCGTAGTTGCTATGCGGATAATGGGTAAACATTGCAGGACGTTCTCAAGCTAAGGCTTTAAATTTATCGAGAATTTTCGTAGTCAACGTTTACGATATTGTGCGTGTCTGGGATCAGACTAAAAGCCTCCCGGTGATGGTGGGTATAGGCTTGCTGGTAAGTGGAAGGGACAATGCAATAATTCAACACTGCCTTTGAATGTAGTATTTTTCCCTTTATTGAATATTATAAATATAATTAATCGTCAGTGGTCTATTGATATCGAATTGAATGTATGATACGATGAATAAAGGAGAGTTTCTTCAATTAATATGAGCGACAAAATCCTGTAAGTGTATTCTTGGTAGCTTGGTGCTTGATTCTCCTACTCGTAGTTATGAACTCGCAGTGGTAGTGGGATATTCACGCTGATAAGGGGCAGCGATGGTACCGCCTTTGTCGCTGCCGAAAAGAGCTGTAGCGGCCTGAGTGGGGGGCGCCTGTGTGACGTCACTGATGCGGGGCAGTGATGATGCCGTTGCCGCTAGCGAGATGCATGCTGTAGCGGTCTAGTGGAGGGAGGATATCCGTGTCACGTCACTGCTTGACGTGTGGGAGTATTTCTCGTACCGTATACCACTTATTAGTATTGCTACTTACTTGGTTGATAGGAGCTGTGTATTAGTGGTCCGTAAGAACGTGTGTAATAGCGTAGCTTACGTGTGGTGGTAAGCCGTGAGCTTGGCTTACGCTGAGCTGGGTTTGATCTGTGGGACGGCGATCCGATTTTGATGAATGCTTGATTGAATTAGTAAGAGAGCGAGAGCGTCAAGTCCGTCTCCTTAAATATCCTAGTACAGGCTTGCGATTCCGGTGAATTCTGGATCACTCTTGTCATGCTGATTGTCAGAGTGACGTCACTACAATTTACCCTTGGATAGTTCGTCGGCCCTTGTTAGTCGGAATTGTAA